CTTAAATTTGAGTTCAAAGATAAATTTTCCATATTAATTTTAAAATTTAACAAAAGTAAAATTTTATTTAAAAAAATTTTTTATTAGTATATTAATATTAATATATATAATGGAATTTTTTTAATAAAAATTTTTGAGCACATCAAAATCTAAAAATAGTGATAAATTTTTATTGGTCAAATTTTTGATCAACAATTACTCAAAAAAATCAGCTGGAAGGTCGATTTTCCTAGTACAGATGCAAACATTGATAGTGATTGAAAGCAACATCTTCGAGAATTGAAGAATAACTGATAAGGTTATTTCTAACGATATTTTTTTAATATATAAGTTGTAATATGATAAAAAATTTGCCAAATTCTTAGATAGTGCAATGCAGTTGTGTAAACAGTGATGATAAGTCACCAGCGAGAATCTACTTCATTGTACTACTATGATGATAGCAGACTTTATATAAGGGGGTGCCCCATAGTAGTGTTGGTTTTTTATTTATCTTGGACAATATATTCTTGAAGAGCAAGTTTTCCAACTCATTGGAGAGAAAACGTCCGAATAATTTTATCCCGACACTATTCCATAGATCGCTAGCAAATACTGATTAAATATTTTGTTTTAAATGCAATCAAATCTTTTCGAATCTTAATAATCTAAGCTTTTGTATTTTTACAGATACAATTCTTGTGGAATGAGCTCAAAACGTTAATGGATGCCAATTTTTATTTCGTAATAAATTTAAGGAGCAAACGGATTGGAGAGTAGAGGCTGAATCTACTATAGGCAATGTAAAAGATAAAGTGAAGGTATCTATTCTAAATTATTTATGCTAGGGTTAATGTAAAGTTGAGCTATTGATGATTGATTATCAACTTTTTTATCCATTAGAATGGAGGAACACCAGTACATGAACGTCTTTTTGGGAAATTGTGCAAGATAGATATCAATGATTTAACGTGTGATGATCCTTTGTCTAATGGTGTAATCGACCTTGGTTCTGATAAATTCCAATTATCTGAGAGTGATTTTGATTTAGATTGCAAGAGATATTACAGAATGCCTTATGCAATTGATAAAAACAAATTCTTTCCGTCAAATTTCTAGGGGTTCTGAAAACACTCTTGTGGAAGTAGTAGCTCGTCTAATCGATGTCGCTATATATCAATTACCAATTAATAGCGAAGTAGAGGTGACAAGAAATGAGCGCCAGAGTGTTGCTAGTAAGGATCGTAAGGCCAAACTAAAGGATGGTGCAAGGGGTAATAAACCAGACTTTATGATTCAAGTGTTTCTAGGCCAAAAATGGAATGAAATTGTATATGCTGAAAGTGGTAAATGGAATTGTAACGAAGAAAAAATACTTGACGATCACAATAAATTGGTGAGATTTTGTATAGATGGCTATAAAGAGGTTTCAAAAAAGCATGTGAAAGATGATCTATGAAAGAATTATATTGCTTTCAGTATTAATATTGCAGGTATGATCATAAATTGTATCTATTTATTAAAATTGGTTAGTAATTCATCATAATAAATATCATTAGGAGATAAAATTATAGTCCATGGATTGATCTGAGAAAAAGAGGTAAAATATTATCTTCCTGTTGCTGAGGCAAAAATTCCTTTAAGATCTGAGTCTGTCGAGGAGATAGAAGAATTTATCCATGTTTTAATGATCATACGAGTAAGTATGCTTTTTGAACTCTCTAGAAAATCAATCATTTGTTAACCCAAAAAAACTTTATTTTAGAACGGTTTGATTGCGAATTTGCAATGTTTAATCAATAGTAACCCCTCCTCTGCATGAAGGGAGATTAAATAAGAAAAAAAACGCAAATTTCTAGAATATATATTTTATATCTTTACCTATATTTTATTTTATCCTATATTAATAAAGTTGACCCTGGTGGTCTATTACTATTACATACATATATTCGAAAAAATAATCCAATTAATTCCTATACATATTGAGAATGCCCGAATCAAGATTATTCGCTTTGAGATATCTACATACCTCTTCATAATCAAATACCTCCTTCATATCTTGTGTCTTCTTATTTATGATAATTATATGTTCTCCTTCCATAACTTGCATATATTTATTCCGGTTTTGAAATTGTATATATTGCGTAGGATTTGTAGTGAATCTACCTTGAGTTTTACGTCTGTTACTTTTAGATTTGCGAGACATATTTGACATATCTATATTAATGTGTAAATGACTTCAATTTTTTCTCGACATATATAAATTCGTTTTTATAGTTTCATGTGTCATAAAGCCCGTTTCATTTTTAGTTTTACTAAAGGTTTCGCTAAAGTAATTGTAATTCATAGTTACAATCAGTCAATATGACCCGCTTTATTATTGATATATAAAAAATGTTACCAAAATAATAACATAAAAATAAAATAAAAAACCATATCGCAGTTATACAGTATACTGCAGACGTAAAAAATGCAAATCATGTCTTTTTCAAAAAGGGGCCAATGATGTTAATATCTTATCACCATTTTGCTCTTTCTGTTGATTTAACTTAAAAATTCTCCTACCATCGACAGATAACTCGTAGCTATTTATCCAAGTTATGAGATAACTTTTTACATCCTCAATGAGTACAGCTGTAATTTTATTTTTTGTCGCTTCGTTCATAAAAACTACATTTTCCAAATCGTCAATTGGATTATTGTTTTTATCTACAAGAAAAACCCTCACAACATCTTCATTTAACACTTCAATCTTTACTCAGATGTTCTCACGATAAGTATCAAAGTCTTTTGTTTCTCCTTTCACATATAAAATTTTATTTTCTGACATCGTAACTGTTTAAGAAAAAACAAAACTATTAATTAATACATGAAGTTGTAACCATATTTCTGACTCAAAAATTTATTCATAATACGTACCTTAAAAAAAAATCGATAAGATAAGAAATGAAGCCTCACAAATCCGATTTATTTATATTGTTCATTTGCTTGACCTGGAACCTGCTAGAAAAAGATATTAACATAATGATATGATAGTAAAATGCTTTTCACCTGCAATTAACGGAATCTCTGCCCCATAAAGCAACTCTATTAGAATCACAAGTGCCCAAATCTGGAAAACTAAATTAAAATCACTATATACAACTATACTGCTGCTTGATTAGGGTTTCTATTTGAATAAGAGTTTATTCAAATTATTTGTTTTACTCATTATGAAAGTTTATTTGAATAAAATGAATAATGAATAATTCAATAATTTGATAATTCAAAAAAGACAAATAAAACAAATAATTCAATTAATTCAATTAATAATTTAAGTAAAACAAATAAACAAATAATAATGATTTGAATAGTTTGAATAAAATGAAATGAATAAACCAAATAAAATGAATAATTCAAGCAAAATGAATGATGTCAATTCGAATGATAAACAAATGGTGTCAATTCAAACAATAAACAAATGATGTCACTTCAAATAATAAATGAATAAATGAATGATAATAACAATTCGAATACACAGTGAATCTCAATTTAGTGGATACTAATTAAAAATCTCAGTTTTACGGACAAAGTTCAAAGAACAGTTTCATAATAAACCTTAATAAAAACCTTCTTGATATAGCAGATATCTCGGTTTAACAGATTTTTGGAAAATTTTCCCTAATTGCCCAAACTATCCGTTAAATCGAGATTCACTGTGTAATAAATGAATGATAATAACAATTCGAATAATAAATGAATGATAATAACAATTCGAATAATAAATGAATTATGATATTTGAATAATAAACGAATGATAATAATTTGAATAATAAACAAATGATAGTATCCTTTCCTATTGGGGGAAACATCAAAGCTTTCAGATCAGGGTTTCCAAATAAGATCAGAAGTTTGATTCAACAAAACTCACAATCAGTATACTGTAGTTTGTGTCAGTTGGCTTTTTATTTGATAATTTAGGTATAA